CACAGATAAGACGTCAAAAGACAAATTTAAAAAGCAGGCAACATATCCTAAGGGTGATTCAACATTATTCAAGTAGGAATATTGGAACCACCCAACTAGAAAATGCCGAAAAGTAGAAACTAAAAATACCACAAGCACAACAACAATGTCGTGCTGAACGATCTTCAAGGATCGAAAATATAACATCATTGATTATATGTACGGGGAGACTTTTTACAGCCGCCACACGGCACAAATAACACGGATGTGATCATAAAATAGATAAATACAGAATCCCTAAAGAAAGCCCAACACGGCAAAATTGAAAATGTTGCAGGCTCGGTTTAGCATAGTATTCATAAAACGGTTTAGCATAGTATTCATAAAACGTTTTTGTGGGAATAGATGATTAACATCTTGTTATGAAATAGTACATTCGAACACTCATTTCCATCCTTTAAAAAATCATTTTTGACAAATAATATCATTAAGCTATGGTTATCTTTATTTAATTATCTTTTAACCCAACTTGCTTTTATAGATTTTAGAAAGTATGAAATGTCTGTAAATTTTAGTCCTCCATTCTAAATAGGATGCTTAATTTCTTTTATTTTTTATTTTTAGCTTGTTTTCCTTTTCCAAACGAAATGAAATACATGTATTGCATTTTCAATTTCCTTGATTCTTTTATTCTGGTGGGCTTTCTAATACCACAAAAGGATAGGTTAATGTTGGCAATGCAAACGTCTTAATGGTTCTTTCTTTACCAATCAGAGTTTAATAGTTAAAATTTAATAAACTAATTTGTTTCCAGTAAGTTTAACTTTTTGGATCCTTGGTTTTGGCATAATTGATTTAATTGCCTGTCTCTTAAGTGTAGTAAGGTTACCTATTACAAAAATAATGTATTAATTTTATGCAGTCTTCTTTTATGTCATCCCAAAATATTGCATAAAACTTATCTGTCAAAAAATCAGAGTCTGGGCTTTTTATTGTTTTTCGTTTAGCATTTCTTTTAAAGCTATACTTATTCGATGTGCACTAAAATTCATTCACAGCTGTCCTTTTCTTACGTAAAAGCTTAACGCTTATTATAAATGCTTCATCCTTCATGTTAAGACTCAATCAAAAAAGCTTTCATGTAATTCTGTTGTGACTAATGCTTCCAAGGGATTACATTTCATGCATATTTACATACTTAACAACAGCAGGTATCAACTTTTTCATTATCCCATTCATACACCACTGGGAACGTTTAAACCGATTTTAGGCGCGCTCAAAGTTGTCGTTGCGAGCAATTATGAATTTCCTACACTAGGGTAAGTCCAACTAAGCGAACTACGAGTTGATTCAATGTACTTTTTTGTGCATTGGCAATATCTCCCCTCTATGAAGCGATTTTGCAACACAGAAAAAGAACCACAGCTTTGGAAGTTGGAATATTTTGACTACTAGAAGGTTATGAAGCAGACGAGTCACATAATTTGTAAAACAGTTCTTATCATGGATCTTAATGATCATTGGATTTTGTTACTTTTTGATATAACAAATGTCTTATTTTTGAAAGTGATATGATAATTATTAAAAATATTATCACTTGTATTAGTAACTCATACTGACGTTTCCATAAAAAAAAAAAAAAAAAAAAACGTTTATCCAAAAGCCCATACAATTCCAAATTACATTTTTAATCCATTGTAAAGACCGAAGACGCCATCACAAAACATAACTGACAAATTATTTTTGTGCCTTTTTAGATTTACCCTTGTCCGTAAATATTTTGCCTTGAGTCATGAAACTTTACAGGAATGTTACCCAGCTTGTGAAGTTGTGCACCTGGTATTTCGCTTGTGATTTATTTTGTTTTGTCAGAGTTATTGCCCTTGACATAGTGAAAATTTGCAACTTTTAATTTGTGTCGTGTGTAGCTCAAAAAGTATTTTTACCTAGGGCAATGAGACTTTACAGGAAGGTTGATCAGCATGTGTTGTTGTATCCAGTATTTCTAGAGTAATTGACAAAACCTTAGTTAAAACTATTCCAAAATGTTGTGTTATTTGTTCCTTGAGTGCTTGAGATAGAATAAACCAACTTTACAGGAATAATGATCAACATCACTCTGAAGTTGTGCACTTGGGGTTTTGCATGCAGCTTTGTTAGAGTTATTGCCCTTGACTTTGTATAAATTTACAATTTTCAACTTCTTCATGCATAGCTCAAAAAGTTTTTGACCCGTAGTCCTGAAAGTTTACAAGAGTGTTGGTCAGCATGTGTATTTATGCACCTTGGGGTTTGCTTATTCAGTGTTATTAAAATTCTTGTCCTTTAATTAGTAAATGATTTTTAGTATTCCTTTGATTCATTGACTTAACCTCATACTGATACATAAATTTTAATGTTAATAAATTTACCTTTGCTTGCAAATAAAGCAGTCACTTTAGTATCCCAGACAGTACTTTCAGCTTTAGAATTTTTGGTCATGTTTGGTTTACCAATACCAAGGAAAAAATCTTTACTGAATGGTGTGGTCGTGTTAAAAAATTCATCAAAGTCAGTCTGGTTGTAAGTCCTGTATACAAACTGTCCTAGTGGATTATCAGCACCCGCCCAGTCCTTAAACAAAGAAGAAATTTTGTCAGGTACAGAAATGTTATCGCCAGTTTTCAGATGATAACTGAGTATACAAGAAGAATGCCCATCAAAAACAATGATCAACATCATTCTGAAGTTGTGCACTTGGCGTTTTGCATGCAGCTTTGTTAGAGTTATTGCCCTTGACTTTGTATAAATTTACAATTTTCAACTTCTTCATGCATAGCTCAAAAGGTTTTGACCCGTAGGCCTGAAAGTTTACAAGAGTGTTGGTCAGCATGTGTATTTATGCACCTTGGGGTTTGCTTATTCAGTGTTATTAAAATTCTTGTCCTTTAATTAGTAAATGATTTTTAGTTTACAACTTGTAGCACACATGTAGCCTAAAAAATATTTGACTAGAGTCATAAGATTGACAAAACAACAGAGTGTCGGAGCACCCGTGTCCTGTGGCCACATTTTTAGTTTCGAATTAAAATTTTTCTCTTCAATTCATCTTTACTCTCCTGTATATCGATTTTGGATTATCAATGTCGGTTTAGATTGTAGCAGAATTTATTTACCAATTTTTATCACTCTGAATTTAATTCTAGATTTAAAGAAATATAACTTCAGCAATTGAAGTTAAATGAAATCAAAATTTGTATAAGAATTTTATAAATGAGAACGTTTGTCGATAAAAAATTGCAAACACCGACGGAAATGCTAAAAGACGCCTAAAATCAAACAAACAAAGAAAAGTAGTAAAAATCACAAGTAATTTTAAAGTTCAATTACAATTGACGAACCGTCGTTAGCGGTTATATTAGTATTTCATTCATATATAAAAGTACATGACAATGATAGCATAAATAGCCGAGAGTACAAGATAGATAAATACAGAATCCCTAAAGAAAGCCCAACACGACAAAATTGAAAATGTTGCAGGCAGTTTTGAGCAGCAGGGGTCAGTGGCGTTAATTACGAAATGTGAAGCCCATTTAAAAACTAGAAATAGAGAAAAACAGAGTCCCTAAAGAAAGTTCAACGCAACAAAATTGAAAATGTTGCAGGCTCGGTTTGATTGAGCCTGTTCATGGACGGTACTGGAAAGTGCAAGTTACCGTCCACGCCCCCCCCCCCAAGCACCGGCCCAATCAGAACTCAACACCCAAACATGAAATAGTAAAATTTTGAATTTAGAAACATCCGCAGATGTGTTCATACGGCGGTTATCATGGAACCTTCAATGTGACACTTCCGTGCCATTCCATGAAAAGCGGCATATGGTCCCCAAGTAACAAAAAGCATGTGCCCTAAACGAGAAAACAATTAAAATTTTGAAAGGGGGTCACAGGTTATGAAGCCTGTATATCACAGATAAGACGTCAAAAGACAAATTTAAAAAGCAGGTAACATATCCTAAGGGTAATTCAACATTATTCAAGTAGGAATATTGGAACCACCCAACTAGAAAATGCCGAAAAGTTGAAACTAAAAATACCACAAGCACAACAATAATGTCGTGCTGAACGATCTTCAATGATCGAAAATATAACATCATTGATTAAATGTACGGGGAGACTTTTAACAGCCGCCATACGGCACAAATAGCACGGATGTGACCATAAGATAAATAAATACAGAATCCCTAAAGAAAGCCCAACACGACAGTTGTGTGTGTGTGTGTGTGTGTGTGTGCGTGTGCTTGCGCACGCGCGCGTGTGTGTGTGTGTTTTATTTTCACATGCGCATGAGATAAGAGATTGTCAACGTCATTGGTAGTGTCATTATTCTGAAAAAAAATTTAATTCTCAATAAGGATATTTTTAAAGCAGTGTAAATGAATAATGAAATGAAATATTATTAAACAAAACAGAACTTAAATATCTGTAAAACGTAACTAGAAAGTGTAAGAACTTAAAATCTGATAATCTTTAGAAGAAAGTTTGTATTCGGAAATACTTTAGATCAATTAAAAAAGACGCGTATAACATTTCAGAAAGACCCTTTCTATTATTTTACTTATTCCAGAATGGCCAATAAGATTCCCAATGTCAGTTTGTAACATTCAAAGGATACTTTTATTCAGTTTCGCTATAGAAACCCTTAAATAAATCGATTTTAGAGTTCCTTCGAGAATGTAAATGCTTTGCAAAATCTGGTCTGCTATTTAACATCACCAACTTTAAGAACCTGGTCACGTTTTTGCATCATTTTAGTCATTTGCAAGTAGTTTAAAATTGGTTATCATAAGAAACTTTTTTTTTTATTATACTTTCGGAAAATGTTTATCAATGGTACAAAAATATTTTGTTGAGTTTTATTGACTGTTAAGATTTAAAAAAGTATCTTAACCGATTTTAATTAGCATATTTCTTATATCTGTTAAACCTTTAACAATTTCAAGTTTATGATTGCTTTGTCATTTCATTTAATTCAACAAATTCATTTCATGTAATTTCAAGAAATTCGATCAACTGTAACTGCTGTTTAATAAAATGATCGAGTGTAAAACGAATATTCACATTTCGCTGGTTGTATTACAATTTGTGGTTTGCATGTCAGTCTATTTATATTTGTACGCAAACATTTTTAATAGAATATATAAATCCATGGACTGGGATGATGAAGAAAACCCTCAGGTAAGACATTACTTTTTACAATCATTTTTCTGTAAGAATACATTTGATTTCGGTGTTTGATTCGATATAAGATATTAAGATTTACACAAGCAGGTTATAATGATTTTTTTTTATTACTGTTTGATTTACGTAGGTATTAAACAGATATGGACATGCTAACATTAGCTAGTAGTACTGGTGTTATTGTGTATTTGTTTAATTTCATTAATTAGCCAGCTATCTGCTTTAATCACTGTCAATTAAAAGGTTGAATAGGTACCAAAAGAATGACTTTCAATATATAAACCGCACTGTTTATTCACAATGTAAAAAGTACTGTCCGCACTTATGTCTGTACAATTCATATATTCGGAATTCATTTGTTCAAATCAACGGGTTTTAAGTGTTGCATGGCGTTATTCCTTGTCCTTCTGATGTTTTTATTAAATCATTTTAATGTATTGTATTTGTATAATGTATGCCATACTGAATTTCTCGTTAATTTGGATCATTTCAATGTATATTTAAGGCGGTTTGGAAAGATAAGTTTGGGGCTAATTTTTTACATCCTCAAGTAATCGAACAGTTTGGCAAAGATATAGAAAAAGGAGTTTTGGCCAAACGATCAAAAACAGCAACTGCTTCAGCTGCAACTCATCCAACTAGTACCAACAGAAAATCTGAGGTTGATGAATGTACTCATAAAAAATTGACGCTGCTAGAAAAATTTCAGTGTGATATAATTGCAAACAACTCTAAAACCATTGCTTACACTTTTTACTACATGGAGTGATAGTCCGGAAAAATATTTAGTTCATAACTTAACGTTACATAATTGGGTGATGTTGCGTCCATTCATAATACCTGTGGTATTTACAAATGAGACTTTAGTCGCTAAAGAGTGTGCGAGAAAAGGGTTCGAGACAATGCATATAAGTACTGCAGCTGCAGGGGGTATTCCGGTTTTAAAATATATGTACAGAGATGCGATTAAAAAATATAATTCTACGTTCTACGCGTACAGTAACGGAGACATTTTGTATACTGAAACGCTTATTGACACTTTACTACTGATGAAATATTCCACAATTAACTTACACAAGCCTGTTTTAATCGTTGGACAAAGAAGTAACGTTAACAACGTCACTGAATTTGAAGGATCTACTTTTGGCAGTATCACAAGATTAGCGGAGGAACGCGGCAAACTTTTCACATTTTGGGCAGAAGATTATTTTATTACGACACGCTCATTTCCATGGCAGGAAATAGCTGAAGTTGTAATAGGACGTAGGGCATACGATAACTGGTTAGTGTATTATGCTAGAAAATCAAAATATAATGTGATAGATGCAACAAAAACAATATTGGCTGTTCATCAGACGACAAAAGCAGGTAATCATGAAGGTCATGGTAAAACAAATAAGGATTTTAATCATCACTTACTTGTGAAACTTTATAAGCGTGTTAAATATAACGCAGGAATTACAGCATGCATAGAAAAATATACAAATTACGACAACTGTGTTATAGCTGTTAAGTCGAGGACAGTCAGCAAATCATGCGCTATTTCATTTTAATTTTTCAAATCAGTCATTATGAGGTGAAGGAGGAATATTTGTAAGGCAAAATGTTCCTTTTTGTTCTGTATCTATACTTCCCATTACTTGACACATACTTAGAATAGAACATTTACAGACAGTGAATCATTCAGATTATTAGAGAAGAAGTTATGTTAGTGTTTGCAGAGAAATATTTGGTTATTGTTAAAATCTTTATTCAATCGTTTCCTTTGTAAACAAATTAATAGAAAGAGTTTTTACCACACACACATAGGTTATAATGTTACGTATCTTACGATTTCCTCCCTTCAAAGACATAATTTATAAAAGGTTTTTTTTACAATGGACCAAGAGTATTATTAACCTTAGCATTCACTTTTTTACTCAATTCTCTCTAGATCTGAATTATTACACTGAATATTGTGCATTTGAATAAGATTAAGACTGCACAACCTTAAAACGCATATAATTCAGTGTTTGATTTTCAATGATTCCCTGGTTTTTTATACTAATGTATTATCTTTAGAGTGTATGTCACTTAACAGAAATGTTTGCCCAAATCTTAACAATACCACTTTAATAAAAGTTGAAATCTTAAAATATTGTGCTTTTTCAACGTTTCGGAATCCAAGAAAGCTGCCAACATGGCAGCATGCATTAATTATACATTCTTATCATGTAAATTTTGTAGCAAATATTATGTCATTTCGATAAAAGGATGGTTAACCATTTTAGAAATTATAACAGAATTACGAGTGTTCAAATATCTATAAATCTAAAAATGTAAACTTTGATTCTTCAAATGTTTCTTTGAATGTTTAATTTTGTTCCATTAAAGTACATGTATTCAACTCCCAACAAATATACAGTTCAAGTCTCCAGAGCCAATATATTAAATATATTTTCATTGTCTTTTTAGTATGTTATGAAGACACTAAAATATTATAGAACCGAAGTTTTAGCTTTGGAAACAAAAAAGTCCTGAGGGAAAACGGATAAGTGAGGAGTAGAAAAGTCTTTTTTGGCTTCAGAATATCTTGCACTATAGAGGTTGTGTGCGAGGACGCGCTGTCATGCTGTATTCTAACAATGCCAAAACATACTGCGGGTCTTTGTTTCTAGAAGTATCCGAGAGATCACTTTTTCTCACATATTTATACATCACAACAGCAGGTTTGCTGACAATACATGTTTGTCACCTTTTTAAAGTTTTAAAAAGCTTGTAATTTAATTAGACTGATAAAAAATAACAACGTATCCGTATTTAAGAAAAAAAGTCAAAAGAATGGAAGACCTGAATGTAGAGAGATACTTTCCTTGTTTTGAATGATATGCAAACTAATGCAGCATTGATTTAGGGATTTTTGTTAGGAGCATATTGATAAGTTGTCAGCATATTTCCAATGCCTGTCGACATATTGATTGATTGTAAGATTATTGATAATCTGTCAGCATATTGATCAGTTGTGAGTATACTGATCAACTTTCACCGCATTGATAAGCTTAGTAAACATTGACAAGTTGTGAGCATATTGATATATTGTTAGCATATTGATTAATTGTGAGCATATTGATAAATTGTTAGTATACTAATAAGCTCTCAGCATATTGATGAGCTGTAAGCATATGGGTAGGTTGTAAACATATTGATAAGGTGTGGACACATTGATAAGCTGTAAGCATAATAATAAAAGTTTCAGCATAATGATAAGGTGTGGACATATTGGTAAGCTATGAGCATATTGAAATTTCAGCATCTTGATAAGCTGTGTGTACGTTCATAAGTTTTCAGCAAAATGATAAGGTGTGGTCATATTGATAAGCTGTGTGTATATTGACAAATTGTCAGCATAATGATAAGTTGTCGACACATTGATAAGCTGTAAGCATATTGATAAATTTTAAGCATAATGATAAGGTGTAGTTATATTGATAAGCTGTAAGTATATTGATAAATGTTCAGCAGAATGATAAGGTGTGGGCATATTGATAAGCTGTAAGTATATTGATAAATTTTCAGCATAATGATAAGGGTTGACACATTGATAAGCTCTAAGCATATTGATAAATTTTACGCATAATGATGAGGTGTAGTCATATTTATAACCTGTAAGTTTATTGATAAATGTTCAGCATAATGATAAGGTGTGGGCATATTGATAAGCTGTGTGTATATTGACAAATTGTCAGCATAATGATAAGGTGTCGACACATTGATAAGCTGTAAGCATATTGATAAATTTTAAGCAAAATGATAAGGTGTAGTCATATTTATAAGCTGTAAGTATATTGATAAATTTTCAGCATTATGATAAGGGTTGACACATTGATAAGCTCTAAGCATATTGATAAATTTTACGCATAATGATGAGGTGTAGTCATATTGATAACCTGTAAGTTAATTGATAAATGTTCAGCATAATGATAAGGTGTGGACACATTGATCAGCTGTGTGTATATTGACAAATTTTCAGAATAATGATAAGGTGTGGGCATATTGATAAGTTGTGAACATATTGATAATTTTCAGCAAAATGATAAGCTGTGAGTATATTGACAAATTTTCAGAATAATGATAAGGTGCAGGCATATTGATAAGTTGTGAGTATATTGATAAATTTTCAGCATAATGATAAGCTGTGAGTATATTGACAAATTTTCAGCATAAAGATAAGGTGTGGGCATATTGATAAGCTGTAAGTATATTGATCAATTTTCAGCATAATGATAAGCTGTGAGTATATTGACAAATTTTCAGCATAAAGATAAGGTGTGGCATATTGATAAGCTGTAAGTATATTGATAAATTTTCAGCATAATGATAAGATGTGGACATATTGATAAGCTATGAGTATATTGGTCAATTTTAATATATATATATATATATATATATATATATATATATATATATATATATATATATATATATATATATATATATATATATATATATATATATATACTGATTAGCTCTCAGCATATTCATAATCTCTGAGCATATTGATAAATTGTCAGCAGGTTGATTGGCTGAGATTATATTGATAAACTGCTTTGATAGCATACTTTGTAGTTATGAGTAAATTGATAAACGTGAGCATATTAATAGTTGTAAGGATATTTATAATTTTGAATATATTGATAGGCTGTGAGCATATGGATAAGTTGTCAGTAATTGATAAGCTGTGAGAATATTGATAAGCTGTGAGAATAAATAGATGTGACCTTATTTATAAGCTGTGAGCATGTTGATATACCGTGAGCAAATCGATAAGACGTGAGCATATTTATCAGTTGTTGTAATATGTATTAGCTGTCATTGTATTGCAATATCAATTAGTTAGTAGTGAGCATAATAATAAGGTGCTGATTAAGGACAGATAAAGTAATGGCTAGTGCAATTTTAAAATTGTAATTTCACGTCTGAAGTGTTCATTTGATAGCAAGATATATTCTTGTGGTCTCAATATTTTTATTTCGCGTGTCAGTTTGTTAATGTGACGGATATGCCCACTGGGGGACAGATATGTTAAATGCATTAATAACTACTTAATTTGATGAAAGCTTTAAAAAAATTTTATCCATCTCTATTCCGGTTCTTTGGTCATTAATCATCTAAATGATAAATTTGAAATAAAGAATCGAATCCGGCAATTTTCTGAACTTATATTTTGAAATTTTTGTATTCAAAACAATCAATATATATCTTAAGTTGATTCACGTACTGAAGTGTGTCTTTTGCATCATATAATCTATAGAAACTAAAGGTCCACCCACACTTTTGAATGAGACGATACATGTGTTTTTTGGTTGTTATTTTTTTATATATAAATGGCTATGTAATTTTCAAAAAATGGACCAGAGATAAAGTATGTTGTTGTAAATTATGAACAGAAATATAATTTGAGGACTTGACTAGGTAAAACAGTTTTGCGTTTGATTATATGTTGATTTAGGCTGCTTGTGAGTTAATAATACTTCGGCTTTTTATTATTGTCAACAGTATACATAAAATTATAAAATTCAAATGAGACTCGTTGTTTGCTTAGGTTGCAAAAGTTGAGAGTATTTACTAGATCAAGGACACTCTTCACACAACTGCATCTCTTAACAATGAACAACCTTTTTGAACGTGAATCTCATACTCCATCAAAAATTAAGATATCGTTAGAAACTAAAAAAAATAAACATAACCGTTTTGACATGACGTCATTTGTCTTTGTTGAAATATCATAGCACACAACTTTTGAATGAACTTTCACAAGTGTATTTGTGATTGTTTCAGTCACTTTATATTTTCTTTTAACTAGGTAAAACATTAAAGTCGTTCCAGTTTAAACTTACTTACAAGCAAAAATACCTAAACATTTTAAAGATACTTTAGCCCTCAAGACATTTCAACCCTCAAAATCAGTAAGACACTTCAACCTACATCAAATATTTTTCATCAATAATTCAACAACAAATAAATCTTTTTTATGTTTATTGTAACTACCTAAAGTAACTTTTGTTAAATATTCAGGATGTTGATTGATCATTGGTTAATTCAACAGTTATTTCATTATTGATTCTAATAGTTATAGTTAATAGGATTAAAGAAGAATTTCTGCATGAAAGAATGAATGAATCATTTTAACATTTTAGCCAGTGGGTTTATACTTACAATATATATTATTTTATTCCATTCATCTCCAAACAATAGCTATTGTGCAACTATGATTACTCCTAAAATACAAACAAATAAATGAAAATTATTTACCATTAATCTGTAACTTTAAAAGGAATAGGAATTAATTTAACTATTACATATTAAAACAATCATTACAACTAATTTATAGCTTTGTATTATGTCTAAATATTAATGTATTTACTATATATTTAGAAACAAATATCTTTGTGATATTGGCCTTTTAAAATATAGGGGTGAAGTATCTCAATCAAATTTCTTAAAATGGGGGGTGAATTGTCTGATTGGGGAAGTATCTGTAAATCGGTCCAGCGTAATGTCTCGAAATCATGATGATAATCTTCTCGATATTAGTTTTCCAGAGTTTAAAGATAGAAAAAGAATCGCTTTCAAAATCATGAAAGCTCGCCGATTATGGGAAGATTGAAAAGCCCCGAGAAATGACTTCGTATTTGGTCATGGTCAGATCTTAAAGCGTAGCGTTATTTAATGCTGATTTTAATCAGATTGCACTAAATCTTAGCGATATACAATAGGCGTCAATGAAAATCTTTTTCAAATGGTCTTAATTTTTGGCTCGCATAATATGATTTTATTCAACTCGTTCAAATAATTCAATATTGAACTTGAACTCATTCAATATCCTCTATTCATCACAAAAACAAACAGTATTTTTCAAAGTTAAAAGAACATAAATTAAATCTAAACCTAAAAAGGTTCAGTTTTAAAAAAAATCCCTTTGTTAAAACGGGGACCTTCCAA